TATAAAGTCCTAACTCTTGGTTTCTGTGCTCAAAGACACTGACAACTCATATAGGAGAAATGCTCAAATTAAATTCAATCCACTGGGCTCTGCCGTCAAGAATGTGATGTATTTACAAGGAAGTGAGCTAGGGTGTTTTCCATGGAGATTCCATGTAGCTTTGTCTCTTTGGGTGATAGACCCTTCCAGACCTTGTACCAATCTGATCTTATACTCAGAATGAAGAGAATGGTATCATGGATGCCCCTTCTGCCTCTTCTACAGATGTTGTGAACTCTCTTCAATGCTAGGTGTAAGAAATGGAAGAGACTAAAAGTTCTTTCAGTTAGTCAGAATGTGAAATTTGTGGTAAATAAATGCACACACTCACACTTACATATACATATTTCCAGACATGGACTCTTGCTTATGCACTTACACCCTTGTACATATGCTTACACACTAATGCACATATATACACATTTGGACATACCTATTTTTAAATTAATTTACCTGTTCCCCATATATTTTTCAATTGCTTTGTTCATACAAATTAGCTAAGAATATATGGAATATTTGAAGTAGTTTAAGCCACAAAAGGAAGCCTAGCATAGGTTTCGCCCAGTCAACAAAATGATCCTTCTTTGAAATGTTTTTTAATAAATATTTTTATTTTATAATTAATTTAATTTTACATATCAGCCATGGATTCCCCTGTCCTCCCTCCTCCCACCCCCACCCCCGCCTTCCTCCCCAATCCATCCTCCATTCCCACCTCCTCCAAGGCAAGGTCTCCCCTGGGGATTCAGCCCAGCCTGGTAGATTTGGTTGAGGTAGGTCCAGTCCCCTCCTCCCTGCACCAAGGCTGATCCCATGGGAATAGGAAGAAGCAGAGTGCTAGAGAGGTCCCCAGAAATCCACAAAGATACCTCCACTATAGACTACTAGCAATGGTCGAGAGAGTGCCTGAGCTGACCTACCCTGGTGATTGGATGGCCGAACACCCTAACTGTCATGATAGAACTCTCATCCAGTGACTGGTGGAAGCAGATGCAGAGATCCACGGCCAAACCCCAGGTGGAGCTCCAGGAGTCCAACCGGCAAGAGAGAGGAGGGATTATATGAGCTGAAATGTTTTCACATTTCTATGATATAAACCGTTAAAACAAACATATATAAAAAGATTTTTTAATCATAAAAGATAGCATGAACAATATTAAAACATTTCTTGTGTCAGAATTATGAGACACAGCTAGGTGATAACCCTGGGTAGGTAGCAGCTTTTAAACATCCAAGAAAGTTTTTTTTTTAATCTATTTTCCACATCGGAGTTTTAAAGCAGGATTAACATAGGAATTTAAACAAGGAGGTGACAGAGATGGATGAGCAAGTTTATAAAAGGAAAAACATGAGGCACTGAGAGAAACACAGTTGATAACAGCAGTTGTTAGCAGGGTTCCTGCTTTGAAGACACCAGGCAAAGCCTATGAACCAAGGATCAGTGAGAAGATCCTAGTGACAGACCCACTCTGCAAACCTAAATCAGGAACATTCCTGAATCAGACACATGAGACCCAGAAAAGCCAGAAAATCATGAGCATGTGATGTTTGTTTTAGGCAGAGAAGGTATTCTGCCAGAGTTCAGGGCATGTATCCATTAATGTGAAAGTTGAGACAACGTGAGTAATCTCATGGTGCATCACTCCTACATGTCACAGGTATTGGTGGATCCAATTGTGTGGTCACTAGGCAAATGGGGCCCAGTGAATTTTTACAGATAAGGCCAAATTTCCCTTGAGATCAGAGACAGGACTTTTATATGACTTTCTGGAAAGAGAAAAACATCTTTACGTTGGCCTGGAAGGTTGAGATGGGAATGGTGGTGAAAAGTATGCATTCTTTCATTACATTTTAAATACGTTTGTATCCAAAATTGTGCAATGAGTCTTCTGAAACTGCCTCATGTCGACCCCTACAGAGCACCCACTCATGTCCCCAGGCATCTGGGGGACTCAACAGATCTGGGGTCCCAGAGTCCTTGCCTTGGGTTGTCATCCATCCTTGCTTATAGGCAGAGTACTTGTGTCCCCTTGGAGGTGGGGCCCTTGGGAGGGGATCATAAGATCATGAGAGTGCCTCTCTCCATGGGTGAACATACAGTTCTCCTGCTATAGGACAGTGAATATGTCATGGGAATCAATCCTGCTAACATGCCAAACTCAGACTGCCAACTCCAGCACCCAGACCTTGAGAAGGAAATGTGTGGTGTTTGTTTGCTGTGGGTCTGGATAATCTGAGAAGGCAGCTTTAGGTAATCACATGTAGGGAATGTCCCAGATGGTATAGAAGTATAAAAAAATTAAGATGTGGGATCCTTTCTAAGAAGGCTTACCTGTGAGGACATGACTAGAAACCAGAGATGAGAACAGCAGCCTGTACCAATGGGCCCAGAGAGATATGTACTACAATCAGGGACGTGGCTCAAAGCAACTGTCTCCAGGGAACAGCAGCAATCACAAAAAGCAACTGTGGTTGCTGCTGACAGAAGGAGCTGCTTCCAGCTCCTGTCAGTGTAAGGCAGGGATCTGCCAAGGGAGAAAGAGCTGTAGGTCACTGAGAACATGGCAACATCCATGGCCAATACCATTTTTTTCTTGCTCCACACACAACCTTTGACCTAGAAAGGATTGCTAGTAGGTCAAGACCTTTGTCTCAACCGTATATTAACCTGACAGATCAGAGAAATGTGAGCATTTTGAGATTTAAGAAATAACCAAATGTGTCCAACCTTTAATTAAAATAAAGTTCTTGAATATTTCAGGCTACACTCTTCCAGATGGCTCTTCTACTCTCAAACAAAATTATCTATCAAGATACATATAAATATGTGATCATATAAATATGTGATCACAGATTTTAAGCCATACTTGCTTCAAGCCACATTGCTGACGAGCTCTGAAATTCATTAAAGAGATTTAAATTTCATTTTATTTAATAATTCAACAGGGAGCGCACACACACACACACACACACACACACACACACACACACACACACACACACTCAGAGCAAACTGACCAGGGTGCAGATCTACAGGACCATTGTAACTTGGCTGTGGGGAGTAAAGAGTGCTGCTCAAGGCTGTGACAACCTGAGTTTCACACATCTCAACCTGTCCCTGTTCTTTGGAACTAACCTACCCTGGGCTCTCGGGACATAAAGTATTATACTGACTGTCCACGAATGAGCCTTCGTGGCCATCCTCTGCCCACTGTTAAGCATCTGGTGTCCAGTGATAAGGTATCTTTGGGTGAGATTTACAAAGCCAGCCCTTTGCTGAAGAGAGAGGGTACAGCTAAGTTGTCCTTTTCTCATCCACTCCTGGATTCCAATTGCCAAGGAAAGACAGTGACACTTTCTTGGACTGGCCAAGGACCAAATGCTGATGGGTCACCTTCTGAGATATGTTCCAAGCAAGGAGGAGCTCCTCCCTGCTCAGTTCAATATGTTTATTGCTTTGTGTGAGGCCTACTTCTTCTGGTATATTTGTACTAATAGTACATTGAAGATAGAGGCTGAACATTTAGGGTATGACACCTGCCTGGGGCGGGGGGAGTGATGTGCCCCTCCCTGTGCTCAGTTTGTGTGCCCTTATCTCCCTTTGCTTGGTTTGTGTTCCCTTATCAGAGCATCACGTAAAGGAGTACTGTGGGGAAATAGCATCAGGTTGGCTCAGTCTCACCCTTGGGTGGAACTTTGGAAAGTATGAGGCAAGTTAATAGTCAGAATCACATAGACACAGGAAGAACATACACCTGGCATCTCCACAGCGTGGGTACTGTAAAATCCTGGTCACTAGTGACAACAATAAGGGGAGGGACATCCAAAATCCATAATGATGGTAGGCAGGGTGGGGGTGGGGTTTCAGCAATTCCAGTAGAAAGGAAGGGTGTATGAGGTCATGGTCCAGTAATGACCTAAGGATGTTTCATGGAGGTGGCCTAGAGCAGGCTGTATGTGGCACAGGAAATCTGGTAGGCACAGAATGTCTGGTATGTTTAAAAGGTCTGGCCAAATCAAGATCTGGTCAGCTCAGAGGGTGTGAATCAGATGGAGCCGTTCATGACATAGAAGAATGTTGATGTTGGGAGCCAGAGAACATTTAACTGTGTCTCTTCATTCTTCAGTCCATCCCCCTGCTCCACCAAGAGTTTAGACCAATATTCCATACTGTAGCTGTCCAATAAAGAATTGCTGAGGGTGATGTATGAAGAAATTGGAGAGCAGAGAGAATATAGGATTTTTGTCAGGAGTACACAATGGTAACAGTTCAAGGAGACAGCTGACGAGCCTCAGATGGTGAAACTTTGTCATCACATATGTGATGGAGCCCAAATAAATCCTAATGAATAGATTTATAGGATGTAGACCAATAGTGTTTTTAATAAAATCCAATTAAACAACAAATACATTATGCACAAAAAGCTGACTTTAGGTTCCCTAAGTAGTGAAATGGACATGAGATGTGTGACTAAAACCAAACCCACATGAATAATTTGAGATTCTAATGGAAAGTGTCACATCAGAGTTAATGATGCCTGTCATTTTCCTGAGTTAAGTGATGTCTGACCTTTGAAATTATATGGCTATGTCACAGTCACTCAACTGGTGTGTCTTTTGCCAGTGTCTGACATTTGGCTATTTGTGCCAGCAAATTGAGTTCTTGTGCATGGGATCTTACTTTCTGGTAGGTTAAACTGTTAGTCATGCAGGTAGCCTTGCCTTGTGGATAAACACGGACGCTTTGATGTCCACACACTCATAGACAAAGCACAAGTGATTTGCACACTTAGATGTGCATAGCTAGTTTTTAGCCTGTTTTCATCCTACAGAGTGTCAGTGTCTCAGAAGTAACTCTCAAATGAGTTCTTGGAAAGCAGGAAAGATCTGCAAAGACTTTATTTTTCACTTATGTCTGGTTCTTCTGTGATGGTGAAGTGCTATTCTCACCTTCTGAACAGGTGCATCTTCTGAGAAATGCTGGCGATGACGTTACCATCACTGTGGAGTATCTCAGGGAAGCGCCCTCATTTCTGAAGCTCCCTTTAGGTAAGTGGGAAGGGGAGAGATGTTAGGGTGTTGTGGGATTTTCTTCCTTCCCACATTATTTATCCACATATATTGGCACAGTGGGTATAAATTATTTCCCAAGCACATTCTCAGAGAGAAGACTGATTTAGACAGACAGAGGGGCACAACAGGATCCTAAGGCACTCCAGGCATCATAATCAGAAACAACTCTGTGTCTTCCTTCACATGAACTCCCTACTTTTGTGTTTACACATACACACACACACACACACACACACACACATACACACACTTACATACTCTCTCACACACACTAACATACATACATGCACATACTCATGCACATACACTAACATACCCACATGCACACACCCAGTTAACTACACATGCATTCATGTGCATATCTGTAGAGTAGTTTGTATTCATAATATCTAGGTTGACTTCATATTAAGTATACAGTCATGCTAATGTACACTTCAGAGTACCTACCATGATGAGGCAGAGCTTGTGATACGCTGCTGTACTGGATCCAGGGAGACTGGTAAACATCAAGCCTAGAAAAGCACTTTACTGAGCATGGTTTGTGTCTTATTCTCCATAGCTGTTGCGTTTAACAGAAGGTCCTGCCCTTATTTTGGATATCAGTGGGCCGACTCCTAGATACTGTCTTCTACTTCTAGGAAAGATCTGAAAGACAAGGCTCAGCATCTGTAGAGCTAAACTTCCTGCAGCTGCAAGTACAGGGGCAGCTGATAGCAGCAGGACCCTTCCTGGCCTGGGCCAGCCTTCCTTTCCTGTCCTGACTGACTCTTCTCTCCATCCTCTTCTTGCAAGAAAGGGTGGCTCCTTCTCCCTGGTCCGTCCTGCATGCTCACCCTCCTTCTCTTCCATCACTGTAACCCTGTTGTTAGCATCTCCCTTATTTACTGTGTAAGTGGCCTGGCTCCTGAGGCCTTGTCAGCTGTGGACTCTGGCCATGCACCCATTTCATGCTCTGTCAGAAGAGTCACTAGATTCAGACCTTCCTCCTATCCTCTTCTCCCTGAGACCTTTGAGCCTGTCATTTCCAAGTGACCACAAGGAGTAATTGTGGTATTCACTTTAGAGAAATTGGTTCCCTATGTGCAGACACATGGATAAGAGTGGCTACTTACCCTGGGTTCCTGGGGACCACATCTCTGTGAAATGGAGGAAGAGCAGTAGGTGACAAGTTCTTGAGGATCTGTGGATGGCATGGAAGGGTTTCATGTACAGATGGGAAGATCTCCATAGTAAGAAAAGTAGATATCAGAAACAGATTAAAGACTAGAAGGAAGTTACAGTTGTCACTGTGGAATTCATGAGGGATGCTAAGAATGCTCCCATGTGCACAGAGACAGGGATGTGGTGATGCCTGTGATCAATCACTCAGAGATCCCAGAGGGCTCCAGCTCCCCTGTGTTACCACACATCAGGATGAGCGCTCTTCTACAAGTCACTTAGTACATGAGGGGGTGATGCAAGACTCAGTATTCTATCAGTGCTACCAGGGAGATTTGAAATGGAAGAAATAAGAGTGTTAAATGAGGGGAGGAGAGACACACACACACACACACACACACACAGAGAGAGAGAGAGAGAGAGAGAGAGAGAGAGAGAGAGAGAGAGAGAGAGAGAGAACAAGAACACAGTAGAGTGATAAAAGAAGACAAATATAAAAAATGAAGAGAGAGTTACACTTTTCAGCATTTTCTCTTCTTGACCAGTTCTACCAACTCAGAGAGTGAAGTCAGGAGCCGGTCTCGGTAGTTGGGAAGCTGAGTCAGGAAATACAGCCCGTTGAATGTCGACAGAGGTTTTGTAACAGGGTGTGATGTGGAAGTGTGGCTAGCAGAGTGGCATACAATAATGGCCATTCCCATTGCTACGGATATGGTGGCACGTGGATCATCAAGGATAGAAAACATCTGCCCTCTCTGAAATTCTGGGGGGGGGGGGGGCGGGCGGGGACAAGGGGGAAGTTTAAAGAAGAGGATTGTTTCTCAATGCCCCATGGCTATAACAAAACCATGAGGAGAATAGCTCTATGGAGGGTCTCTGATTACAGTTGAAGAGATTTCAATTCACTGCCATGTGCTTTGGGCTTGTGGGAGCCCTGCGTACCACAGCAGGGATGCATGGTGGAGGCAGCTGCTTGCATTGCTGGTCAGGAAGCAACAAGAGGGACATAGAAGAAGGACATAGGGTGCCCAGGGCACATCACCTGACTTCTTCCCACTAAGTGCCACTTCCTTTTCTTTTCCTTTTTTCTTTTTTGGCTAAGTTTTTTTTTTTTTGACAAAATAAAATATAGAAAGATAAAGAAAAAAATTATCATATTGAAGTTGGACACAGTAACCCAATGGGAAAAGGAGTCCCAAGAGCAGACACAAAAGTCAGAGACCCACTTGTTCACACACTCTGGAGTCCCATAAATATACTAAGCTAAAAGCTATAATATATATGTGGAGGACCCATGTAGGCCCTGTCTTGCTGCTCCAGTATCTGTGATCTCACATACACCCTGCTTAGTTGATTTAGAGGGCCTTGTTCTTCTGTGTCCTCCATCCCTCTGGCTCTTACACTCTTCTGGCCTTCTCTTCCATGGGTTCCACAAGCTCTGAGGAAGGGGAGTATTTGATGGATACTTCCTATTTAGACTCACTCTGTGTGAGTACCACTTCCTAACAGATCCTCTGCCTACCAGTAGAGCCACAGGCTGAGACCAAGCCATTTAGTACATGGCTTTTGAAGCACATGTATCCAAACCACATAAGGATGGTGGAAATTTCTTAATTGGAAGTGATGGGAGTTTTTAAGGCTGTGTACAAGGGAGGCTGTACCCAAGCCAGCCCCCCACAGCACTGTTCCCCAGGGTATAGAAGATTGGTAGTAGTGCTAAACATTTGTTTCCATCTTATTCTTGCACAAGTAAAGCCTCGTGCATAGCAGCCTACCTCCAGGTGAGTGTCTTTCGCCTCCTGCATGGGCCTAACTCTGTGTTCTGAGTGTGCCTTTGTACTGAGATTGAAAGTGAGGGATAGTTATAGCCTGGCCCAATGGGCAACATGAAAGACGAAGACAACAGGACACTTGCACAGCTTTCCCTGCTTTCCATCAGAGGTCAGTAACGTTTCTGGATAAAGAGAGAGGGTAAATGTTTGGTGGCTGCTAACACTGGTGTAATAGGAGCAGTAGAACTGACAGCCACAAGGATTTCAACATCTGTTTCTTGAAAAGGAAAGGTCACCATGGCTCTGAAGCTGCCATTTCCCTCAAAAGAGCTCTTGAAGCCCAGGAACCATAAAGTAACTTCCATTCACAGGCTTGACTGGAATCTGAGGGTTTGGCACCCATAGCTTTTGGTTATCTAGGAACTCTTGTGAACTCTCCTGCTGAGGGCCTGTGCAGAGCTCAGCCATTGTGGCTAGCCCAACCCTGAACTCCTGTGAGCCCCATTGCTCAGGGGCAGTGTAGACTCCAGAGATAGATGTTGAGTTCTCCATTAATTCTATAAATATCCATTCGCCTTTTATTTGGTTCTTTACAACCTAAAACAGTTAAATCTTAGTATCTATAAAAATTTAAACACAAGGGCCATAATCATTCCATCAATCCATGCAAAATGGTCTCTAGTGAATACATGTCAATGAGGGAAAATTGCTTCTGCCTGTGTAGATTCTGTTGGGTTGCTTGTTTGTCTGAAGCAACATCTGTCCCACAGAGGTGATTGCTGATGTAGAAAAACATACCAATAGTAAATAAAATGTCCATTTCAACATTTCTTAAATTGATATTAATGGGAACATAAATACCCAGTGAGATTGAGTCAGCAGATCTGTATATTTTTTTCTTTCAGAATCTCAGACAATTGGTGATTTTATACAGATAGACTTTGCACATTGTAGTATTTCACTATGTTATACACCATCACCACTGATTAAATTTCTTGACATTTTACTGCTCAAAGGAGGTCCTCCACAAGCTACCAGGCAGCCCCTGTTCCCCTTCCCCAATCACTCAAAGTCACTGCTTTCTGCCTCTGTGGATTTGCCTTTTCTGGAAATGTGTATCAATGCATTCATACGATTTGTGACCTTGGCTTGCTGTTCCTTCCACTTACCATGATGCTTTCAAAGTTCATTGGTGAGGTAGCATGCATCTGCTACAGCTGCATAACTCTGCTTTATATGGTTGTAGGGCATTGCTCCATCCACTCTTTAGCTAATGAACACTTGTTTCTATTTCTGGGCTGTTATGAATATGCTGCTGCAAACATTCATCAACAGGCTTTGTTTGGACATCTTTGTTAAGTCTCTACCTAGAGAAGAGAATTCTGGATCCTACAATAATGCCATGTTTAGCTTAGAGCGTCTTCCAGAGTGCTTCCCTCTGTGGCTCTGCTGCTTGGAGTCTAGTGAAGTAGCCATAGGACTTTGGACAGATTATAGTTCAGTCTTTGAAGGAAAGAGTTTTATAACTACTGATTTATGTATTTTTCTTTGTTTTTTTTTAGAACAACTCTTTATGTAATTAATAATTGCTAATACTTTGTTAGGGTGATAGCTTAGTCAATAAAGTGCTTGTCTTGAAAACATCCTCCAGGCCCTACTACATAAAAACAGCCATGTGCTGAGAGACACAGTTACGATCTCAGTTCAGGAGAGCAGAGAAGTGTGGCTTCCTCGGCCTCCCTAGTCTACTTAATGGACTTCAAGCCAGTGAGAGGCCCCAATTCAAAATCCAAGGTAGATGGTACCTGAGGAAGGACAGATGAATTTGTCCTCTGACTTCAACATGTATGTGCACACATGTGCATGTACCTCTCCACACACGTACACCTGCTCATAAATGAACATGTTCCCCCTACATACACACACACACACACGCACACGCGCACACACACACACACACACACACACACACACACACACACACACACACACACACACCATAATTACTAGCACTGACCAGATTTGAAAAATGGATGTTCTGGTGGTAAACAAAACAATATAGGAAGTATTCAAATTTTTCTTTGGGGATACAGAAGGAAAGCTGATAGTCATTGAGAAATTAATATGAGTCCAATGTCTACAAAAGACTATCAATTTTAAATTTCTTCGCTTAGTACACATTGCTTCTTTAGACATGTGTTTATGGTGACATTTATCATGTGTCACTCAGAGCAACAGCATTACCTAGGGGGTTTTAGGCAGTTCAAAATGTTTTCATCTTTCTTGCAAATAATGACAAGTTGATTCTGGTTATAAATGAAAGACTTTGGAAAGAGTTGCATGGACTGTCCTAAAGTGTACATGGAAATGCTATTAAAAAAAACTGTGCTAATGTAAAAATAGCACTCTGTAATAGAAAGTAACAAAAGCCTGGGCCGGGATAGATTCCACTGGGCAACAACTGTATCTATCTGGGGTAGTAAATGATCAGAGAAATGCTCACTTGTCAGTTTGTGTAAATAAAGGCGAAGAGTTCTTGTGTCTCTCAGCACATGTAGGAATACGGAGAAGTGCTTCGTAGTGCTTGTCCTAATAGATGTGACATAGGTGGGAAAGGGACACTGACTTGCTGGGCTGTGCATGATGGGAGGTGCAGAGGTAGACTGGAAATGAACAGTCAGCCTTGGAGCCTTCTTGTCACTAGGCACCCCATGTCCATATGCACTGAGGAGGGCTGACAGTTCACTACAGTCCTGGGAATGAGATGAGATGATCCAGTACTGACATGCAGGATGGTGCCCATCCAGTTCTCGGTTCCTTTCTTGCTGCCTTTTCTTGCAAGTGGCTGATGGGGAAAGGGCCTGCCTTCCTGTTTCATTCTCTTGATAGCATTACAGCCTCACCATGATTGCAGCTTGTCAGTGATAAGCCTACCACTGTGCTGTCCTCGGCACTTCTGCTTGCTTTCCAAGGCTCTGAAGGCCTAATCTCAGGGCTGTCTCTCTCCTTCATAAGAAGGTTTCCTATGTGCTTCTAGTTGTGCAGATTCTCTGAGAGTCTGGTCATCAGGCAGTGGTGCTCAACCATCTGACTTTATGAGACATCACCACAAAAAAATGGAAGAACTGACACACAGGATCTGTCTACACTTCTTGTTTGTGCAGAAAATAATGGGGCCGGGGTAGTCACAGAAAACTCTTTTTCTTAGAGTTGCCCTCAGGACCTTGAGTGAATGGCCTGAAGCCTTGGGAATGGCCCCAAGCTTCCCTTTAACAATTCTTAATGAAACTACTAGTTTAACTTGATTATTGAACTTGTGTGAAAGCTGGTTGCAGGGTTGTTCTCAAAGGGATTCGCAGTTATTGGGCACCTGTTGTCTCTGGACTGGGTCAAATGTGCTGACCTGAGAAAGCCTTTTTGAGTCAGATCATCTCCCATAACAGTGAGACACTTAGCTGCCAAAAGACACAGTAGGAAAATTCGTCCATCACCCAACTGGTAAAACAGTGATGGTTATGACTGATACACATGCCACATTTATTTTTTGCTTTTTATACAAGCAAATCCACTGCATTTGTACACAATACGCAAATGGATTTTAACTCAGTTTGTCATAGATTATGATGGTGGTGGTGTGTGACTGATGCAGGGCTACCCCTTCTGCATTGTCTACATTCTCACACTGCCTGTCTGCAGCAATGAGAGACCCAAATGTCACCCACCCATCTGCAACTCTGAGGGAATATGCCATAGTAATGGAGTGGGATGAGAGACTGCCAGGGCACGTAGCCCTGTTGTAGACACAGCCCTGCCTTGCATCCTGATAGTGCGTTATGACATAACAGGCAAGAGATTGCATTAGGAGCACTGATGGGGAGGCCAGGTTCTGGGAAAAGAGGGAAAACCTCTGGCTAATCGATAGACCAGAGAGTCATCCCCAACTCAGTTCCACATCCCTGAGAGGGACCTAGCAATGGACTGCTGGCTGTCGTTGTGTGCTTAGCTATCTTGCAGTCATATAGCCACATGTGATGTAGTTGACAACTACATCTGGAATGAATGCCTCTCATTTTGTTTCAGGGTCCCCAGGGCCATCCAGTGACCACAGCAGCAGAGCCTCATCACCTCTCTTTGACAGTGGCCTGCACCTGAATGGACACTGCAGCCACACAGTAAGCACGTGCAATCCCCTGACCTCATAACTTGGGAACCTCAATCCCAAGGGCCCTGGGTTGAGGAGAAAACTGTCCATGATCCTGCAGAGGCACATGCAGATGTTCTGGAAGAAACAATGAAAACAGGAATTAGTCAGTTTTATTGAAATTTACTCCCATGTGGGGTCTTTGTCCTTATACCCACTAAGACACGTTCAATCAGTAGTTCATAACTGCATGGAAAGCAAACACTAGTCTTCATTTTGAGGTAGAATTCAAAGTAACCTCTGGGTTTCAGGCAGCCTTGCCAAGAGGGTGTCAAGTTGTTCTTAGGAGATTTCTAGAAGACTCACATGAAAGGAGAACAGTGAGACTTTATCCCCAAATTCATGGGAAACATCAAGGAAACATGAGCACTGTACATTTGCCATGAGGCTTAATCCTGTGCCTCACCCTCTCCTATCCTAAGACCCTAGAACTAAGTGCAACCACCAGTGCCTGATACCCTGGGTCTGCCTCCTAATGCTAGGATCAGTCTCTCTCTGGGTAGGTGGGCTTATTATCCACAGAGACTTTAGTGCAGAAGTAGAATCTTAGCATTCCACAATCTGTTTTAAAGTATATTTTATAGTACATCCTTTCCCACCCTCACATGCAGGTAGAACTCAGGGGAAAAGATTCATGTTTGTTCATGTAATTACATGGTACCATAATTTCTTGCTTTAGCAGTTTAAATAGATTTTAGTTATTTAAAATTTGGCTTCTGTACTAACAAAGAATAAGCAACATACTCACAAGTCACATCTCCCTGTCTTGGGCCCATAGACAAACAGCATCCTAATTTTCACAGCCATCACTTGATTTTAAAAATTAGTTTTGAGCCAGGCACAATAGCACACCTATTTGTCCCACCTACTCAGGAAGCAGAGGCTTCAATTGAGCTTGGGAGTTGGAAGCCAGTCTGGGTAACATATTGACAGTCAGTTGAGACAAGTCAGAGAAAAGCAAATGGTTCTTGTGGCTGTTGTCCTGTGTTACCTTAGATACAGGAGTCATTGATGAACTGGGACACTCACAGAGTCAGTTCTGTATTTCCATCACAATGAAGAGCCATTTTTCTACTCTCACAGTAGAAAGTCCATTACTGTCCGCAGAGCACTTGCACTTGGACTACATTTTGGTGTTTGTGAACTTTGTTCTGTGAGAAAGGACCTGAGATAGACACCTTAGTCCTGCTTCCTGCAAGATGTACCCAAAAGTAGAGAAGACACCCAGCTAGGAACATGCTCCCTGTATGGGAAGACATGGTTGATTCCCATTTGGAGACACTGGATCACAAGAGCAGGGAAGAAGTGAGCTATGGTTGACAGTGGCATGATTATTATATTTAACAAGACAATAAAATCAAGAGGTGAATAATTACTGTTGTAAAATTTACCATAACATAGTCACTAAAGCTGAGAGAAAAATGACAAGATTGACAGAGTGATGGCATGCCTCTCCCCTGAAATGAAGCAGGGAATCTCTGTTTTCAAAATAAGAAATATGTAAGATCTGCTATGAATAGTTCTTAAAGGGGGTTCTAGTGCTTCAGTCAAAATAACCCGTCATCTCCGACATCAAGTAGTTACCTTAAATTACATACTGACAGCAATCTTCATTACCTGGTTATTAAAAAGTGCTTCCTTTAAAAAAAAAAGTTTCTCCTGAGCTGGGGAAGTGAGTGCAAATGTTGCTAGAGTTTTCCTGACTGGCCCACAGTCAGGACAAATCTCTCTCACCCGCCAGTCCCAAGCCGCTCAAACCCGATCAAGTAAACACAGAGACTTATATTGGTTACAAACTGTATGGCCGTGGCAGGCTTCTTGCTAACTGTTCTTATAGCTTAAATTAATCCATTTCTATTAATCTATACCTTGCCACGTGGCTTGTGGCTTACCGGTACTTTACATCTTCCTTATCCTGATGGCGGCTGGCAGTGTCTCTCTGACTCAGCCTTTCACTTCCCAGCTCTATTCTCCTCCTTGTCCCACCTATACTTCCTGCCTGGCCACTGCCAATCAGTGATTTATTCATTGACCAATCAGCAACACATTTGACATACAGACCATCCCACAGCACCTCCACTGGCGGGTGAGAGAGATTTGTCCTGACTGTGGGCCAGGCAGGAAAACTCCATCTACATGCAAACTTTTAGGTCTAGCTGCTGATCATCTCTCACTCTTATGCCTGTGCATACTGAAAATTATTTGTTTAGAAGTCTCTTTTTGAAGAGTTTGAAGTTCAAAGATCCATATTATATTTGGGCTGAGATCCAACCTGAAATATGGCTATACTTTATCTATATTTAGATCTTACTGAAAAATACTTTTCTCATACTACATTAGAATCTGTGTTTGTTTTATTTTTAAACAAATGTAGATGATGTATATCTTTTTCCCCATAAAGTGAGACCTATTTATAAAAGCCACATAGACAATTACATTCTAGGCAATTTTATTAGTTACTTTTCTCTGTGCTGTGACAAAATACCTCAGAGAAGTAACTCCAAGGAGAGAAGATTTATTTGGCTCACAGTTTCAAAGGAATTTCAGCCCATCATGATGGGAAGGCATGGAAGAGTTTGTGATAGCTGAGCATGTGGTGGAGGCTCCTTACACCATAACAGAGCAAGAGCAGAGACTGTAGGCCAGAGTCTGGAATGCAACCTTTAAAGACTTCGTTAGTGACCCTCTTACCCAGCAAGACCCCATCTCCTAAAGATTCCAGATCCTTCATAATAGTCCACAGGCTAGGGGCTCAGCATTTAAAGCAGAAGCCTATAGCAGACATTTCATATTCAACCTACAGCATCAATTCACATTTAAAACTACTGTAATTTTTACTTAAGGCCCATATTTTAATAAGGTAAGGATCATTTCCAAAATCTGTGTTGTTTGGAGGAATAGAATGCAGATGTCCAGATAAATCTGCTGAGCAGAAGGTACATTCTGGCTGCCCTTTCACAGCCGTTCTCTACATTTTGAGTGTCCTCCAGGTATCAGAGGTGGAGGCAGCTCCCTTTAACTCCCAGAGCTTCCTGTTTTCTCATCTCTGTTGTGAATACATGGGTGCAATTATGTTTGAATTGATTCCAATTCCTCCAGCTGTTAAAATCACCTTCAATACCACTCTCCAGCTTGTTTCCTGTTCTGCATGGTTTTCCCCAGATAATAATGGGTACTGGGATGGTTCGGAGTATGTGTGTGTTGGGGGAGGGGGTTTATCTGACATGGTGGTTCAGAATGAAATTGTATTTCTTGACTCAGTATATCCTGGCCTAGCTGTTCTCTGTCCTGTTGTGCCTTTCCAGAAGGGAAGAATCACAAACTCACTGTTCACAGGAATGCAGGGAGTAACTATCAGACTTACCTCTCCTGTATCCTCACTCCCAAAAAGGAAGAGAGGAGGAGTAGGGTTCTTGCCCTGCATTGGAGGTTTGTGCTTGCTGTCTGTCTTGAAGCCTAGGTGTCCTGAAGCACTGTTTGCTAACTCAGCAGTTGGCTGTTACCAGGACAGCTTAGGGTCTGTGCACTGTTCTTTGGCAGAACTGCCATGGCATGAGTGGGCAGCTTCTGTGCCAAGCAATTTTCTGTGCTGGCCCATGTAAAGTAACCCTTCATGGAGGCTGGGGCCAGTGCCCAACTAGGAGAAGCCTGTACTATGAGGAGACTGCTCAGGGCTAATGTCTAGGAGCAGGAGCCCAAGGGGTAAAGAGCAGGGGCTCATCTCATGAGGACCCCACAGAGAAGGGATGCAGAATATTCTTTCTTACATAAACAGAGTGTACTTTAAATGTTGGTGAATTGTGACAAGCACTCTGTGCTAGTTGCCACTGGAGAACTGCTGTGGAGTTGTCTTGGGTTTATGGAAGTTCCTGAGCAGTATAAAAAGCAAGGACTTAAGCTTATTTTATACACTGCATTTAGAAGTGGGCTTCAGTTACCTTTTATTGTTTAGATATGAAGTGTTCCTCAAAGCAGTCATATGTTTGAGGAAGGTCCCCTGATGCTGTATCCAGTCAATCGAAGGTGGTTTGATTATTACCTGATAAATGAATTAGTCTGCTGATGGAGTCATAATTTGGTGATATTATTGGGAAGTGGTAGAAGCCATGAGGTGAAGCCTGGTTGAAAATGGTAGCCATGACTGTGAAGGGTGTATTTTGTCCTGGCTCCTTCCTGTTGCACACTCAGCTTTCAGAATGCCCTGAGGTCAGCAGCTTTCTCCCATGTTCTGGTCTGAATGTGAAATAACCCTGACATGCTCAGTGTTTGAGTACTTGGTCCCCATATGGTGGCATTGTTTGGAGCAGTTGTGGAGCCTTTTTTTTTACAAAGCTGGCAGACACAGGTCTGTGGAGTTCTAGCCAGGTAACCACTGGATGCAATGAGCCTGCTGCTCCAATGGCAAGCTGTGGCTGCCACCATGCTTTCTCCACCACCATGGACTCTGCTCTCAAACTGTGAACCAAAACAAATCTGCCCTCCTCTAAGCTGTCAGATATGATTCACAGTTATGAGGAAAATAACTGATATACAACACCTCAGTCTTCCACGGTAGCATCTCAGCCCTCCATCAGACCCACAGCAGTGGAGCCAACCATGAGCCATCAGCTCTGAAACAGCCAAGATAAATGACTCCTTTTTCCTGGGTGTTTTATCACAGCAGCAAAACAGCTGACAGACCTCTCAACGGTGGGGAAGAAACCCCAAGCATTTTTGGTGCCTCCTTAGTCTTCTGCAGTGGAGCATAGTAAGAATTTACTAAGGCAAGTAGAGGTAGCAGCAAATCCACCGTTCAGAGCATGTTTCCACTTCAGCATGGTTTACAATTGAAACTCCTCTAAATATCTCTGAGGAGATGAAAGCAAAACAACTCTGTGTCTTTATTAAGACCTTGACTTTGCAGTCACTCTGTTTTGTTTTTCTGCAACTTTGGCTGCAGACTGCAAGTGTAGGGACTCTGGATGCTACTGGGAACTGGAACCACTCCTTCCAGGCTGTCCTACCAGCATAGTCAAGGGGGTAAGCAGAGCCAGGTATCCAAGGAGCCAGTCATGAGGAGGGTCAGGTGTGCAAAGAGACAGTGTTGATGGAGTAAGGTTTTAACAGACCAGGTATGTGCAGGGTCAGGTGTGCACAAAGCTTGGTGTCCACAGGACAAAGTATGTACAGAGCCAGGACTGACAGGGCAGGAATCCTGACAGCCATCCCTCCCATGTCAGGAAATGTTTTCCAAGTTTTTTCAAATCTCATAGAACAAGGTTACCACGCTCTTCAATTTTTTTTTTATCACCCATTATTCTCTCTTTGTCAGATGCTATAGCCCAGAAAATTAGAAGTGGGTATAGCTAGAGTGGGCTGTGCACACATGAAGCAAAGCAAAGCCACGAGCTGCTGACAGTGCAGTGAGCATCTCCTCCGTGGCTTGCTGTGGGTTCCCAGCCAGACCTCAGACACTGACATCTCGCACAGATATAAGATACAGCAGCAGTTAGGACTTCTCACAGAAATCTGTTTTAAAATACTTTTCAGGTATTTATAAATGACAGTTCCCTGTAAGGAAAGAGTCGACCAAATCCCTATGGGAAAGGCACTAACCATGCACATGGATAGTGTCTTACAGCTTTCACTTTCAATCAGGGCTTTCCTGGGGTCATCAGTTTTTCTCTGCTCTGGTCAAATATTGCTCCTTTTATTATGTTTGTGTGGTTTTGTTCTCTAAAATCACATTACTAAGGGCTCATAGCCCCAGAAGGATTTGTGAAGATGGAAATTGCAAGCTGAGACCCACAGGCAGGTTTTGTCTGCTGAGTAGCCATTATTATTTTAAATTGAACATGAAGTGTCCACATAGCTAGAGACAGACTCATCCTAGGTTTAGTGATTATTTATTGACTAAAGTATTCTTTTAAAACTGAAATAATTTGATGGTTACCTACAAACTCTGTAATGAGCTTCATGCAAGAAATATATACACCACACTAAAAGCTGTGTTGGGACATTTTGTTTGTGTTCAAACTGACACTTTGCATGTTCTCTTCTTGGTAATGTCTACTAAGTAATGAATTTTTTATTGCATATTATATCAGAATATCCATGATCCATACCTTTAGAAAATCCTCAGGCATTTTTCTAGTGCTTTTGAAAATTGATTTCATAGAAATAAACATTACACAAAGACATTATGGAGTGTGAGTGCAGAGTGTTTTTTTTTAATCAACATTTGAGCATGGCAGGGGTCACAAACTGTGCTCAGGTGAAGTAAGGGCAGGACAGGAGTTACTGGCAAGGTACTAGATGTCACCTCACTCCACCTGCTTATTGTGGTTTTACCAGCCAGACCTCAGGCAATATCACTTGATGCTCATCTCCAAGGTGAAGTTATTTTAAACATGGTTAAGCATTGCATTTTATTCCAATGAATGGAAAGTGGAGTTAAAATTCGTTTACAAATTTATGTTAACACTACAGTAAAGGATGCTTATACAACTCATAAACATGGAAAGCTGGAGACAAACTTATTTCTTGTAACAGAGCAAGGTACAAGAAGAGTAGGGGATCCCACCTGGAGTGACAATTGCATGAAGGCAGCATTCTATGGTGCTAGACTACACCACAGTGTCAGGGTAACATGGATACTGAAAGCCGAGTCCAGGGTCACATTCATTATCAATAAATATCATTGAAACTGGACTGCGAGCTTACCTTTGAGAAATTGACTGTGTGATTTATATGTACAGTGAATTTTTCAAGTCAATATGCTACATGTTGTCAGACATAGACATGGAAATCTAAATGGCCAACCCAGGCTTCCTGTGTAGCACAATTCTCAAACAAGAAAATTCCAAGTGACAGGAGGCAGCAGTTAAAAAAGCATTATGCTGGGTAAAGCAAGGCCCTTGCTTTCACGCAACAAGAACCCAGTGGTTGAAGACTGCCAGCCCTCACAGCAAGACAGGTCACAGGAGAGCACCCCTCTAGGGGTCTGTGTTAGGACAATGGAAAAGAAACAATGAGCTATTCTTCTGTCTTCAAAAGGCAAAGGGACAGGTGCAGATTTCTGACTTGGCTAGACTCCATGTGACAAAGCAGAAATAACCTACCAGGTTACAAGAGAAAACCAGGAGAGCCAGGATCTCCATTATTTAGCAGAATCCTCAGACAAATACACAGGGAAAAGGCTGCTTAGGGCAAATGTAGGGAAGGGAACCAAGGGGCCAGACAAACACAGATGCTCGCTATCAAGTTGGATGACATTGAGGTTCCCTGTGCTTTGAGTGGAGGTGCAGTTGACTCTGGCCATGCAGCTGAGTATCCAGAGAGGTGACACCTTGGACACTTATCTATTCCCTTTCTTATCACAGTTGCAGAATGTGTCAGGGGGCCTCATGTTGTCACATCTTCTGAAGTGACATTTTGGTGTCAGCATTCACCCTCCCTTGTAGATAAATGTCTCTCAACTGCTTATAGGAGCCACTATCTCAGGATAAAGGACATGCCTTTGCCAACAAGGAGGCAGGATCAGAGTACTATCTCACCAGCCTGATGCAGTTGAACATGAGACTTGTAGGAATTTAGCCTAAAGAACCACAACCATCAACATAGTTTTCAGTCTGCTGGGTTGTTGGGGTGAGAAGAAAGTCTAAATTATTTTAGTTAATCCACATGTGCTATCATGAAAAGCACACTTCTAACAGTTACTATTCTTGTTAGCACATTCTTCTTTTCACCAACAAAACCTGTTTCCTATTTCCTGAGTAATTATCAGAGCATAGTAGCTGATTGAGAATGCAGAACAGGAAGTCTGGCAGGGCCCCTCTGGTGCATGACCCTTTTAGATACAATGCAAGGAGGCAAATTCAATTGTTCCTTCATAATTACTATGTCACAGCTGCTGTGTCTGGTATTTGTGGATTTGCACCTCATTCTGGTCATCGCTTTTTTAATAAAGTGCTTTATGTCATTAAGTAATCTGCAAGTTGGGAAGGGCTGAGGGGATACATCTGTCTGCTTAGTGTAGCTGGCCCCAGAGACCATTCAGAGTTTGGTCTTCTGGAGGGTGTCCACTTTGCTCACATCTCTCCTCACCAGGTCCCTCAGGGTTTTGGAGCTCCCTTGCTGCTTGTTAGCAGTGCCAAAGGTGAGCTTCCAAAAAAGTATAACTTCAATCTCTGAGGCCCCCCATACCCAAGTTCTACCCCACATGGGGGAGCACACACATGTGTGCACAGCCCAGTGGAATTAGACTTTTTCTACAATCTCAAAGCCTGCCCCCTGTTGGCAAAGCACTTGTCTACTCTCCACATCACCAAGGATCTATCTCTTTGGCCTCAGGTCCAGGGAACTGGACCAAGTAACCTCACCAAAACCAGACACACATGGTGAGGTTCCTGGCTCAAGGTTCCAGTGTGACTCTCAAGGCAGGTCTTCATCTGAACATATGAGGCCAATGGAGAAGCCATATTTCTCGTACTGGACATAGGATATGGGCCAGGTTGATGACAATGACCACTCTCTCAAGAAGGGAGATGGTGAGAAGGCAAAATGTCCCCGCTCCATAGTGACTCTAAGATGGGCAGGCATACATAGCCAGGCTCTGTATTAGAGTGTGTCCCCACCCTTGAGAGTCCTTGCTCTGTGGCCTCAGCTTGGCCCTGACACCTTCAGTTAAGTGGCTTGTCTGGCTTCCCACCCTCTCTAGATCCAGGGACTTGATTGTTTTGTTGTTTATTCTCTTTGTAGCAGATGCCATGATTCTTTTAAAACATGTATTATAAAGGCATTTTTATCCGTCAACTTTTACCCATTCCATTAGATTTGTCACAGTTCCCTTCAAAGATGCCTATTGTCTGAGGCTGAAAGCCATGACCTTTAGGATTTCCAAAGTCTGAAAATTAAGTGGGAAGAGCTGTAGTCACCCCATTAGATACTATGTCCCTCTCAGGTCAAGAAGAGGTATGACTTCATATCTTTCTGAATGTCTAACAAAGAAACTCAAGCCCCACCATGCCTGATGTTGTTCTAGAAATCTATCTTATAACCGGGATTCATTTGCCATTGGCAGAAGCAATTCTGCTTCTGCCCACATTACTGAGTGCTTAACATCCATCGGCTCAGCTTGTTTTGAACTACTTTCTCTTAAGGTTCCACATTTTTAAGTTAAGATCTCCTCCAAATGCAGTTCTCTTTGCCCTCTTCTTTAGCTTTCTTCCATTTTTTTTTTGCAAAAAAAAATATTGTTTAAAACGTATTTTAAAAGCTTTTATATTCAAATATGAGTGCTGCTTTCTGTCTGGATCTCTGAGAATTTATCTTGTATGCTTTCATCAATCGAAGTGGGCTAATCTGAGTTTTGTGGGATGGGTGCCTCAGTTGTAAGCCTCTCCAGAGAACAGTAGACTGACTGGTCCTGTGTTGACTGACTCTTGCTTATTTTGCACAGGCTCCATCATCACCTTCCTCGCCCATAGCTAATGAACCAAAGTATGAGAAGCGTTGGCTAGACACCTTGTCAGTCCCTTTGTCCATGGCTCGGATCTCCAGGTACAAAGCTGGAACAGAAAAGCTCAGGTATGTGACCAATGTTGGAAGTGGGAAAAGTAAACCCAGCACCGGAGGAAAAGGCAGTAAACTCAGCATTGTGGGAAAGTCTGGCGAGCCCCACATTGTGCCAATTCCATCTACTGTATCTGTGTCTGACAGAAGCGTTGGCGAGCACAGGCAGTGTCTCTACAGGGCAGCATTTGAGGAAGTATTGAAGGCCAAGAGGAAAGGGATACAGAAGCAATTGGAGCGGCTGATCTTTTTATTTTTTAAAATAGGAACTGCTCTCCCTTCTAGCAAGAGCAATTGTCAGTGCTTAGAAAATAGTCTAAGAAGAAGAAACTCTGTCTTCAACTTTAAGTATCAACAGAATAGGTTCAATTATAAAAGACTGCATACTTTTCTAAATGACAAATAGATACTGAAAAGCCATTTAAACTTGGTGATCTTCATTTTCTCCATTAATAAAGTAAGAGGGTTAGGCCAGCTCCACGGTTCAATAAATGCTACTTGTTTGGAAGCCCTGTTAATTATGTAGTTTCAAGATGTATCTGTGAAGACTCATGTACCCTTCTGGGTAGGCTGAGAGGCCAGGGCTCCGTGCTCGAGTTTTGAGAGAAGCCAGATACAAGAACAGTGACCTGCCTACCAGCTTCAATTAGCAAAGGCATAGCATAAACATCTCGCTGCAAATTGAACCTTGTGTGTCATAAAATATGTGTGTGTAGTTTCTGCTTGATATGTGGTGTGAGTACAGTGTGTGTATAAAGTTGTACATGTGATAAGTGGTATGAGCATGTATGTGTTCTCAGGCATCTTTTTTATAGAAACATGAAGATCTATGTATTTATGGGGTACAGCGTGATATTTCACACACAATATGTGATGACTGAATCAGGATAATTACCTCAAGATTTGTTGTTGTTGTTGTTAGGGGTGGAGAGATGGCTTAGCAGTTAAGAACCTATACTGCTAATCCAGAGGACTTAAGTTTGGTCTCAGTACCCACACCTTGTAACTCCATCTCCATGGAATCCAACACCATCTTCTTGTTTCCATAGACAACTGCACTTACATGCACATGCCCCCAGACTCTCCACATGCATATTCACATTTAAAATTTTAAAAAGAAAACATTTTTGGGAGGTGTGGGAGCAAATAGGTGTAGGTACTAGCAGATGCCAGAAGAGGGTGCCAGATCTCTTGGAAAAGGCATTACAGGTGGTTGTTAGCACCCGATGTAGCTGTTTTTTGTGGTGTGGACATTTGATATTAATATTCCTAATTCATGAAAACTCAATGTAACTACATCTATTTGTTCCTTCTTTAATTTCCTTCATCAATGTTTTACAGGTTTTAGTGATTAGATCCTGAACTTCCTTGAATTTACTCCTATTTTTATTATTATTATCATTATTATTATTATTATTATTATTATTATTATTATTATTATTATTATGGTTTTTTGAGACAGGGTTTCTCTGTGTAGCTTTGGAGCCTTTCCTGGAACTTACTCTATAGCCTAAGCTAGACTCGAGCTCACAGAGATCTGCCTGCCTCTGCCTGGTGGTGGCGCATGCCTATTTTATTATTTTGCAAAGGGGATTGTTTCTTTAATTTATTTTTATACAGTTTGTTCCTAGTGTTCAAAAACACTACTGATTTGTGTATGCTGATGTTGTATCTTCTAGCTGTAGTGAGTCCACACGTCAGTTTGAATGGCTTGTGTTATGTGTTTATGCATGTGTGAAGTCTTTGTGGTATATCTTTTCTGTATATAAGATCAAGTCATCAGCAGAGACAATTTCATTTCTTCCTTTCCTACACATATATGTAGGTTTCTCTTTTTCTTTCCTGCTTGCTGTTTAGTATTTCTGGTGCAGTCCCAAATAGAGGTGGTGAGAATAGACACCCCTCTCTTGCTCTCAATTACACAGGAAATAGCTATCATTTCATCACTGAGTATGATGTGTGCTGTGGTTTTTTTTGCACTTTGGTTTTATTGAGATACAATCCATGCCTAATTTTTTGAGAATGTTTTTTATTATGAGATGGTGTTGACTTTTGTCAAATGTTTCTTCTGTATCCATTGAAATGGTTGTGCCAGTTTTACCCTTCATTCTCTTGGCATGATGTATCATGTTTATTGTGTGTACTTCATAATCTTTTCATCTCAAGGGCAAATTCCATTTGACCACATGAATGATCATCTAATTATCCTGTTGAATGTATTTGTTAATGTGCATGTATTCCTCATACTAGTGTTTTCATGTAGTGTCTTTGTCTGGCTTTGGGGTCAGACCAAAGGTAATGATAGTCTTTTAAAATTACCTTAGATGTGTTCTATCGTCTTTGATTCATTGGAAGAGTTTGAGAAGCATTGGTGTTATTTCTTTTTTGAATGTTTTATAGAACTCAGTAATGCCACCAGGTCCTTACATTTTCTTTGATGAGAATCAAAACTCTTGATCCAGCCTCCTTAATGGCTCTCTAAGATTTTGTCTAATATGATTCAGTCTTAGTCATTTATGTGTTTCTTGGAACTTGTCTTCTAGATTATCTTAATATTCTAGGTTATTCAAATAATTAGTATAAATTGTTCCCAGTTGCCACATGAGATCCTTTGTGTTCCTATTGATCATTTCCAATATCTTCTTGTTCATTTCTGATTTGAGATTGCTCTTTTTTAAATCTTTCTAAATTTTTATCAATTTCATTTTTCAAAGAATCAACTTCTGGCTTTATCATACTTTCAGTTGCCTTTATTTCTAGTCTGTTTTTATTGTTCTTATTTGTTGAGGGGAGAAATATACACACACAAATATACACACATGCGCACACACAAATATACACATGTATACACACATACACCCATAAACGTTGTTTTTAGTTCCTCTTCTCTGTGAATTGAGACAGGTCTGTCTGTACACAGAACTGTAGGAAGGAGGGTAATCTACAGTAATCTGCGGGCTCACATGTTGACATTGTTACTGCTATAGATCCTTGAGGGGTGTGTGTGTGTGTGTGTGTGTATCTGTTATAAAGGGGACTTATTAGGTTAGCTTACACACTAGAGACAGAGTAGTCTAGTGCCTGCCTGAACGCTAGAGAAACATAGGACCTGATAGCTGTTTAGTCTATGATGCTAGAGGCCTCAGAAGTCCCACCCAGTTCAAAAGCCCAGGAGTCCCCTGAAGAGTCACTAGTGTTTAGCTTACCTAGATAGAATGAAGAAGCTGGAGTTTGGTGTCAGTGGAGGCTGGTGGCAGGAGTGATAAACACACCCATACAGGAGTAAGTGAAGGCAAGCATTCCTGCTTTTCTCTCAGACCTCTTCTTTTATCAGGGCCACATGCTGGTAAGTGCCATCAACCCTGGGGCAAAGCTGATAAGGTTTCACATTCTTGCATTTTTGTGCATTATTTAGCATTTTGTTCATAACAGATTAATGAATTCTTTTAGCACTACTGTGATCATCATGGTGGTAAACTCCTTCAGCCTTTAGTCCAGAGGAGAACCTTGCCAGGCATTGTATTCCCACTTGGGAACTTTTTTTTTCCATCTAATACTATAAATGCAGTATTCCAACTCCCTCCTGAAGTTTGTAGCTTCTCCTGAGATTTTGACCAAGAATCTGAAGGCTCTTCCCTTATATATAGTACGTTTGCTCTCTTTTACTGCTTCAGAATTCTCTTGAGAATTTGATTAATATGCTGGCTGTGCCATTTTGAATTGATTACTCTAGGGGTATTTCACACTTTCTTTTCTGGGTTTCTCTGTATCTCCTAAGATTCAGGATATTTCCAGACACTGCTTTCTGCCTGTTCCTTCTTTCCTCTCCACCTAGAACTCCCATCATTATATATCGGAAGGTATCCCTTCAGTCCACCATGATTTATTTACTCTTTTGTTTTTTCTTTGTTTTCTTGCTTTTTCCCACTAATTTTCTTATTAAAATAACCTGCATTTGACTTCAATAATTTTGTCTTTTGCATGATTAAGTCAGCTGTTTAAACTGTACCTGCAGTGGAAGCCATGGTTGATAGACATCAGAGTTCTAAGGAGTAGCGTTCTATTTTATCCTGGATAGGATGAACAGCCCAGAATGGAGTTCTATGGGGCTTGTGATAAAGATTTTATACTGTAAACCTGGTGCTGGGTTCATAGAATGGAGTGTCTTCCTCTGGGTCTCTAGATGACACTGAGGAAATGCTAGAAAGATTCCTGGGTGGGCCACACTGTTCTGATCTGTGGCTGAGAGGAACTCAAGCCCGGGTGTAGGGGCATCCTAAGAGGCTGCAAGGGCACTGTGGGAGATGTTTTCTCCCACTCTTATGCAGGCAAGCCTTTCTCAGTGGATAGCCACAAAGAACTGGAACTAAGATCCAAGTCTTTGAATGACAGAGGAGTGACTGTAGGATACTGGCAGACAAGCCTGCCCTAGAGACTTCAGAAGCATCTCCCTATGGAACTCTGGCTGGACATAACTGCCCCAAGACTATGGTTGGGAGGTGCTTACCTGAGCTCCAGACCCATCAAGATCTACTAGAAACTAAAATCAACAGGCCTGACCAGTGTCAGAAGTAGGTGGGTCTCTCATATGGGTTGCTTTGTTCCTGGACCATAGTCGAAAGGGCTTCATGAACACTCAGGAACCATTCAGCATCAGTTATTAGAAGGTCTCAGTACAGTTAGCTATGTCTCCCCCTAGGTCCATTTGTTTGTAGGACAGAGCTGGACCCACAGCTGAGGGACTGCACTGAGTAATGGGGAAACTCTCAAAACAATCAGACCTTCTTCTATGGCCCTGTTATGAGACTTCTTCCTTGCTGAATGGTATCAGAAACAGGCTCTGGGCCATGTATGGCTGTGACCAAGCCCTTTGGGGAGTAACACTGCTTTAAAATTATACCACACAAAACAGAAATTAGTTATTCACTGAAAATTTGAGGACAGAATATGTTGATGTGAAACTAATGCATAACAATAGCCAGCATGTTCTCAGAGGGTCTTAGCAGAGAGCAGAG